GTTACTCTTGATGAAAGTGAATCTTTTACCTACAAATTTAGCTTACCTCTTGTTCATGGTTTAGTTATTAGGAGTCCTATAAAACACATGCCTTTTCTTTTTGTGAAAATGCAAGATGATATCAAGTGCAAGAAAAGTGTAGTTCATAGACCTTATTGAAGCTCTACTCTCTGCAAGGCACTGTGCTAGACACGTAGGGATATGGGAAATGAATAATTAGAGCAAATATATTTTTAATATATTAGAACAGTATTGTTTCATAGCTTTCAAACTTTATAATGACAATTATTTTTTTTAATATTCTTAAATATTGGGGCTCTTGAAATAGAAGACAAAAATACCTTCATACTCAAATCCAGACTTGTCAGCCTAAGATTCAGGTCTCCATTCAGATCCTCTTTCATACCCCATATCTCTTGTGAGCTTTCTTTTTCCTTTTCCTCTGCTAAACCTGCCTGCTTGGCAATCCCTGCACACAACTAACTCTTGCTTCTGTGCCTCGCCCGACTAATCCTTCTGCTTTGGGGATGCTTTTCTTCCCATGAATCCATGTCCATCGCTGCCATTATAGCCTGACCCTGAGTCCACCTCCTGCAAGGAGCCTGTAGTCAGTGTCCCTGTCTCCTTCTATGTCCCTCAGACATGCATAGCCTATATGATTGGTGGAGGAACATTTCTGTGGTATGCATTAAAGCTTCCCATTCTCTGTCCACATCTTTCTGATTAGATACAACAGAAAATAATGAAAGCAGTCTAATATAAACATGTTTTTGCCAAGCCTTTTAGGAGCGATTCTATAACAAAGATTTCATTTTGGTGTTTGTGGGCTATAGTTATAGACTAGAAAGATCAGAAAATTAGGATGAGAGATTGAGAAACTTGGGTTCATGGAAAAGTCTCATGTCTATAAATGATCATTTCCTACTCCCACTCAGGACAAAAAAATTTCCTTTAAGCAAAGTACAAATACAATGAGGGTGGATCCATGACTGTCACACTCAGAGAAAGCAGGGCTCTGCTTGTCAATCATCTCAAGCTTATTGATCTGCTGTTCTGTAATTCTTTGAATATTGTTTAATGTGTATGTGTTTTATCTTCTGAACTGACTAAAAGCTTCTTGAGGACAGGGACCATGTCTTTTTTTTCTGGTTGTTTGTTTTTTGTTTTTTTTGTTTTGTTTTGTTTTGTTTTTCTGTTTTTGCTTTTGCATATTCTTCCCCAACTTATTCCTGACTGGCATAGGGAAAACCTGGAAGCATATAGGAACAGGAATGCAACTTGTGAGTTCCAACTACATCTAGCCATTACACTTCCATATTTGATATGTATAATAGTCTTTGCCCTCATGACAACTTAAGGAGGTGGGTATTCCTATCCTAATTCTACAGATATGGAAATTGAAGTTCAGAAAGTTCAACGTCTTATGGTTAGTGAGTGTTGGATCCAGAATTAGAACTCAGATCTGACTCCAAAACCTGTATGAATTTTTTATTACATCACAATCATGGTAAATGTTTGAGTCCTTTACAGTTCACAGAACTCCTTAATTTACATTATTATTGCTATCGTTACTGCCACTATTATTACTAATATTATAATTATTCCTTACATCATTACTAGGAAGTAGGTAGTGCTAGTATTATCATGACCCCCCATTTCACAGATGGGGAAACAGACCCAGAGACATGCCCGAGATCACACAGCTGGTAAGTGGAAGAATCAGGACTTCATACAGACCTCCTGACTCCACAACCTGTTGTTCTTTCCACAAGGTCAAGTTGCTGCCTTAACTCATTTGCATGAATGCATGATGATGTGGCAGTGCTCACTGATGCCTTCCTGCAGAAAAGCCAGTACACCTGAGCCATGCAAAAGAAAAAAGAAAAATAACTCATACCTTCTGAGGAGCTTCCATTCCATGGAGGGCTGATACAAAGCACCAAAAATATAAACACTTAAATAGTTCACAAGTGAGAACTAGAATACAGGGCACTTTGTTCTATGAATGAATTCCCATAACTTGGCAAAAAAGCTATGTGATATTTTTCCATCGTAAAGTAGGATTAGGAAATAGGGATGAAGCTTACAGACATGATTTGAAATGTTCCCCCTGGGTTTAGATGAGAAAGTGCTAGACGCTTATACAAGTTGGTAGCTGTCCTCAGAATCTTCCTGTTATCAAAGAGGTGCAGTAGTATTCATCCAAGGGATGATGATATGTCTACCCAGCATATCATCCTTGGTAGATGATATCCTGTCCTTGGTAGAATCCCTCTAGTCCCATCTGCCAGGCCTACTTCTATCTCTCCCTACCCTGCTGCCCCTACCCCCACCTCCCTGCCCTCAGTTCACCAAGCCCTGTAGGCCTTTGAACTTCCTCATTCTTCAGTCTCCATTCCCAGCAAGTTGTCCCCCTTCTCCTTTTGCCTCAGTTGTTTGTATGTAGTGTACAGTACCACAGTTCTTCAGCACAATCACTTAGAACTAGGAAGATATATACTGTAAATTATAACTATATAATTTGTGCATGCTAGAGACAAGTTTTAAAGTAAACAGGTGGTTTCTAACTCTCCACCAGACATTTCTACCTGGTTGTCAAACGGGCAACTCAAGCTCTTTGCATACTGAAAGATAGCAGTGTCCCCCACCAAATCTGCTCTGTCTCCCTTCTTCTGCTTCAGTAGATAATATCACATCCACTTGGCCATCCACCCCACAGCTAAGGGACTCTACTCCTTGCCTTCACCGACCCTTTCCCCTCTGTGGGTCATTAGATCTCCCTCAGCAGTGTTGCCTTCTGTTCCCACAACCTCAGCCATACCCCAGCTCTGTCTCCTCTCCCACATAGCTGTTAGAGTAACCTCCTAAGGACTTGTCTCTCTGCCACCTCTTCCAGTGTGGTCTCCCACACTGCTGCCAGAGGAAGCAAAACTGATCAGATACTCTTTACAGGATGAAGTCTAAGCTCCTTACTTGGGCATTTAAGACATTTGACTATTGGGTGGCAGATGACCTTTGTATCTGCCCCTCCTGCTGCCCCTTCACTGAGCCCCTTCACTCTGCCCCTTCACTCTGCAAACACCAGGCCCTTTTCCAGCTTTGTTAGAGCACACTGATAGAAAAGATGAACTGGCACAATCAGAAGAGGTCTACAAAAGCACCACAAGGTGATGGGACCACATTCTGTGTGGTCCCATCACCTTGTGGTGCTTTTGTAGACCTTTTGTAGGCTCCTGACATGGTCTCCTTGTCCTGAAACGTGTACCCTTTGCCTAGCACAGGACCCCTTGGTGGCACCTTTCCCCCCCTCCCCCAGGCATTTGGTTGGTGCTTCATCTCAGGAGCTGCCACAGTTCTTGGTTCATAATTCTCTCATAGCATCTCCCCCATTACGTTCCAAGTTATTTTCCATATATTTATTTTACTTGCTCATCAAAGGCAGCAGCTGTCCTCAGTCTTCCTTTTCTTCCCCAGTATGTGACATAGTTCCTGTCACATAGTTATTGAACAGATGCTGAACAAATGCACTCAGGGTGTGCTCCGCCAGAGCAGTTAGGCACTTAGTCAGATGTGTTGTGCTGCAAAGAGCACTGGACTGGGATCCAGAAACCCATGTCCCAGTTCCAACTCTGCCACTAGATAAGTGACCTTGGGTAAGTCACTCAGTCTCCTCTATTAAAGAAAGGGGTTGGACTAAATGATCTCTGCGGCCCCTTCCAACTTTAATTGATTTAATTGATTTTCACTCCATTTCTTGGATCAGGAAACACCGCCTACTTTATAATATTCGAGAGCTTCACTGTAGCCAGCCAGCCGGCCACCACATTTCCCAAACAGATTTTTCAGATCTCAGAAATAGTCTTTCATGCAGGCCAGAGCTTCTCCAGGAGGCTGCTCTTGGCCTTACCGGCAATCACTGAGCTTTCTCACCCCTCCCCAGGTTTGGGGTGCCATCACTCAGTCGTGTGGCTACCCTTTCCCAGGAGGGAGCCCCTCTTTGTGCTGGCCTAAGGGAGGCAGGGGGAGAGGAAGTGTTTCCCTTCACTGCATGTCCCACCAGTATCACAGCTGCTGCCATCATGTTTTGGGGAAGCAATACCCATTTCTGTGAGAAACAAGTTTTAAGCAGCTCATGGCCCTCTTAAGTATACTGCTGACCTTTTGAGGATGGGAGGAGGACTGGAGTTAGCAACTCCACAGGTACATTTGCCATAATCTCTGTGTAATAAACAAGAGTCTATGAAAAGATGAAATGAATCTTTCCTGATGCTTTTTGATTGGTTTAATCAATAATTAATCATCTTCAGATGAGGCTGTAACTTGTGGAGTAGATATAATTGGATTAGCTGGAAAGAGGCAGTTGGGGAGCTTTGAAGAGATTAAAATGGCTGTCAGTCCCATAATTAAACTGCCACAAACAAAAGCAATGGTGTTTTAAACAAGAAGAAGGGAAAGAACAAGCAACAGACAGAAAAGGGAAGAAAAATGGGGAAGAAAATCAGGAAGACCAACTGATTTGAAATGAATCAACAAGTATTTATGTATCACTAAAGACTGAAGGCAAAATCTAATCTGACAGATTGATTCCATTGAATGAAATGCATACATACCAAATAAGCCATTTAATTATAGGCCTGGGGCAGGTGAAGTTTCACAGCTTTAGCTTCACTAAAACAAAACAAATCCACAAAAGGGGGAGGAAAAGTTACTTATTGAAAACAGAAGAGACCTGCTCCTTGTCCTGAGCCCATTTAGACCTTGACTTTTCATACTTTTAATTGGCTTAGTAGGTTTGGCCTGTGTGAATGAAGTCTTTTATCTCTTTTTCTTTCCATGCCCCTTTCATCTTTCCTATTACAAACACACAGAGAGAGCTTGAGAGAAAATACTTTGGTTTTTAAAGACTTTTCTTTTAAAAGGATGTGGATTTGGGTGGGGGGAGGGGCGTGTGTGTGATGCTGGTGAATACTTTTTTTTCTCTCTTTTATCTCTTTTTCCAGAGAGGAGTTGCTTAAACCAATGGGACTAAAACCTGATGGGACAATAACGCCTTTGGAGGAAGCACTCAACCAGTACTCTGTCCTGGAAGAGACCAGCTCCGACACAGACTGAAAGCATCACCTGCTCAGCTCCCAGTATTGCTTTTATCAGCATCTTTTCTCTGTAGCTCCAGGGGAATCTTTTCTCTAAAACATTTATGCCCTTGCTTTGGCTAGAAACACATTAACTGGTTTACTCATTGAGAATCCAGCGTATTTAAGAGGTGATCCTGTGTTTTTTGCGATATCGAGGCATTCATACAGAGCTGCAGTGAGGCAGAGTCACAGGGACTAGAAGCAGAAAAACAGTAATTCCATTTCATCAGATGGAACGAAGAACTTCATTCTGTAAAGCAGCCCTGGCCGAATCTGGCCATTCTGTTTGCCAAGATTCTTGACTGAAGATTTAGCCAGGTCCTTCCTCTCACTTGGGTGAGCAGCCCCTTCTGAGTCTCTCGAGCAGCCAGAGGCACATGAGAGCAGAATGAGCTAGTAAATAAGGACTGAGGCAAGTGACTCCTTAGGTCAGTACTGACTAAATGGAAGCCAAGCAGCTGCTCTGTAAACCTAGCCCCACTCTTCAATTTTATATACATATAGAAGCACACACACAAACACACACACACAGGCCCCAGACTTACAAAACTGACTACACTAGAAGTTTGTAGGTCTTAGCTAAAATTTCAGAAGACATTTCTCCCTGTCAGGAGTTATGAATGATGGTTTAGTTTCCAGGCAGCTACAGATGCCTATTTATTCCCTAATATACTGAACACTAGTACTGCAGAACTGAACCAGGGTATGTACTGAGGTGGGGGAAGCGTGCATTCTGAGGTCTGACTTGGGGTGCCAGTCACATACACACCCTCCATCCCAGTGAGAGAGTGAGGACTCCCTGAGTAATGGGAACTATTTTGTGGCCTCTTCTAGTAGGACAGTCAAAGGCACCCATTTGTACATAAAGGTCATTCCTACATCATGTTTTAAATTGGGGTCAGTGTATATGCTTGTGTGTGTGTGTTCTATCTTTCTACCATATGTGATCGGCTTAATGGTAACTTTATTTATTTAAAAAAAAAAAAAGGAAAGAAACACAAATAGTTACCATTAAACTGATTAAGGCTGTTTATTTTTACTGTTAGAATTGGTCATATGAAGATGTAGAGGCGCCGTCATGCCGTAGACAGTGGGCCTAGCTAATCAGTGGCTAAAGTTGGAAAGGGGTTGGTTTCCTTTGATATGTATGTATGTATGTATGTGTGTGGATGCACATGCATATATACATATGTATACACACACATAGATAATGTGCTTAACCACTGCCTTTTAAAACTTTAAATTAAATAAAACATTGGGGTTGATTGAATTTAGCCATCTGTGTGTGTTTCTTTATGGCTACACGGGCTAAGCAACACTATTTCATAGTTAATCCTTTTTAAAAATGCTTTTCCAACCATTATCTTAACTTCTCATCATAATAGCCTTTGTAAGGACAGGTAAAGTATTTGGGGTATTAGCAAAAATGTCATTTATCCAGAAGTTAACTTCTCTGGCAAAAAAAAAAAAAAAGTCAGGAATTGAGTCTTAAAAGGCCTTGGAGCTGCCAGACAGATGTCACAGATTTCTTGCAACTACTCCTAAGGGATATCCACAAGATTTCACTCTTAGCCTTTTTACTAAAATTTGCATACATCTCTTAACATATTGAGATATCTGCCCACACACACACTCAAAAAACAGAGGCAAACAAAGAGGCTGCTAGACTGAAGTCAGGCAGACTGAAAGCAGAAAAGACCACCGAAAACACTGTGTTAAGATGGGAAGAAACTAGTCAAGGTGAAGCAAATCAAGACTCTCAATTTTGCCATGGGATATTGACCCAGCAAATAAGTGTTTAATAGTATGGCCCATAAACTCATTCTCTGCCCATGAGTTTCTTTAAAGGAATAAATTAGCCAAAATATTTTATAAAAGACCAAGAAGAATAAAGACATTAAGGAATTTCATCCAAAATAGTTGAGGGAGAGATTATGAATGACCTACATTTTAACAACAGTAAATAAAATAAAACTTGACAATTCTTAATTTTAGATTAGTGAAAAGGGGTTTTTAAAAACTTGATATTTTTGTTATTCTACAAATGTATTTTTTATAATTTCTAAAATCACTTTGGGATGAGTGTCAGCCTAGGGAAGGGCCATCCATCTTGACAGCTCTGCAGAGTGAGCAAGTGAACAGTCTGTTAAGAATCTGTGATTTCCTTTCAGTTTGCATTTCCTATTGCTGGGTGTTAAACTTGGATTTTAAAGAGGGAGAATTTTCAGGGGAGAGGATGGGAGTGACCTCACCTTGCACACGGAAAAGAGCTGACACCAGTGGGTGCTGATGGCACGTGAGCTCTCTTGCATCCCTAGAGCCTCACAGCAAGCAAGAGTCCATCTGTGGCCACCTGACCCCCAGCACGCTCCTTCCCCAGCCCCACTGCACCTGGAGTACACCATGCCTCCCCAGGCTTTGAAGGTGGGGAACAGAGTGGGATGGAGAAGGTGTCTCAGGCCATTTTAAGCAATAGCTGTCTCCGCAGAACTTGAAACATTTTAAAAAATGTTTTAAGCAGGGAGGGGCCTTGGAATGGAAATGTGAGTGGGAAGCTTGCTCAGTTAGGTGAGTACTTGATTTCAAATGAAGACCTGGAAAACTTTAGGGTAAGACGGAGGCCAGGGATGCAGGCCCCTCTACCCACACCCCTCCTGACTTCAGAAGTGGGGTGCTAGAGTATGTTGTGAATAAAGCAGTTGAGCTGCTGCTTTGGAAGAACAATTGCCAAATTATTGCAGCCCTTTCGCATGTGTGGTGATCCTGGGTGGTGGGCAGGGCAGATGTTACCCCTTCTTTGGGAATGAGGACATAGGCTTTGCGAGGGACTGAACACCAAGTAGCAGGTCAGTCTTGCCACCTCCCAGACAGGTGTCACTTGCATTCACTTCCTTTTTTTCCCTGATCGTAAAAATAATGTCTGTTTTTTGTAGAAAGCTTGGAAAATGCAGAAAGCAATAAAATTAATTTTACCCAAAATCCCACCACCCAGAGAGAATCACTGTTAACATTTCAGTGTATTTCCTTCCTGTATTTTTTCTATGCATATATAATTTATTTTACTACAAGATTGGGATCACGCTGTACTTACAGATTTGTATCCTGCTTTCTTTAACATATTGTGAGCATTTTCCCATGTCAATAAATATTCTTCAAAAGTTAATGGCTATACGATATTCCATCATATGAATTGTGGCAAAGTGATTGCCTACCCAATAGTTTTCCTAAAAAAACATCAAGGCCTAGAGCCCCTGCCCCCAGCCACCAAAAATAAGTTATCTGCTGTCTTCCCACGAGGCAGCAGTGAGCCTCGGCAGCACTGCAGAGTCACAAGATCCGGGGATGGCTGGGAGAAGCAGAGGATCCACCCCATACCCCCGGTCCTGCAGAAGCCTCAGCAGCACACATGACTGATTATCAAGGTAGCTCCACAGCTTTCAAGAAGAGCCATTTTAAAGGTAGCAAGAGAGCCGGACAACTTAGAAATGTCTGCATGTTCTAAAAAAAAAAAACGATGTCAACCTTGTTCGGTGTGCAGTCCAATTGTTAACATTATAGTTCTTGGAGAAACTTAATTCCAGAAGCAGAATGAGCGACCAAGGTTCAGGAGCCATGTGTTTTTCTTACAAGAAAAATAAGATGGTACCTGTCACCATATTGAGTGTGACAAGCACAGTGTGGAAAAGGAACAAATCGTGAGAGGTGGGGAGAGACTTATAACAACTGAGAATCCTCTGGAGGAAAGGCAGAGGTTTCTAGAGAGCACGCTGGAGGGGACAGTGCACCACGCCAAGCCCTGCTCCATGAGCCATCAGAGCAGCCCTGGCAGCTGAGGAGTCAGGAGATAGGCAGACGGCACCCACGTCACAGGGCAGGTGCCAAACACACTCCCCTCTACATCTGTGGTGGTGATGTGGCATCCTCAGGAGAACTGAAACACGCCAGTCACTGTGTTCTGTGGTCTAGGTCTCTGACCACCCTCTGCCTAAGAAAAGAACAAAAATATTCTCTGAGACTTCTAGAGTCCAGTTTGCGTGTTAATGTGACACAGTGACCATCCTAAGCAGTAGTCTCTAGCTGTATCCACATCTCAAAGACCTCTACCTTTTCTGCATTGAACAAAATTGCAGCCGAAATATATTGAGCAATACTGTGGTGGACAGTGTGCTGAGCACTTCACATGCACATTCTAATTTATAATTTATAACAATATTATGAGGTAAGCCCTATTTGTAAAAATTCTACTTTTCAGATGAGAAAACTAGAAAAACATTATTTGCTTTTAATTTGCTATATATAGAAATTTCAACTCAAGACAGACACCAGAGTGCATGAATTGTTTTTGTAATCAGAAGAAAATGCATAGTCCTTTTATTTATTTAAAAGAAGAAAATGTCAGAAGATTTAAACAAGAAAATCAATTAAGAAAATGACTGATAACTCATTTCTTCATTTCCTTATGCATAGGTTTCCATGCTAGAGTTACTCTCAAAGAGCAGCCCATATTTACCAGCACACTGATCCACATCAGTTTGTTCAGTAATCATTGATCAGGCATTACCTGTGTGCCAGGTACTGTTCAAGGTGCTTGACCAAACATGGCCAAAGTCCCCATCCCCAGAGTGCCCACAGCATGAGACATCCATGACTAAAATCTGAAGGAAGAGTCGCAGGATGTCAGGGGGATTGTGGGGTGAATAACAGGAAGTTTCACAGGTGACATGTGAGCCTGAGCATGACCTTACCATGGGCAAAACTGCTCCTATCGGAAGAACGAGCTCAAACAAGCTCCTAGGCAAAAGGTACATGATGCGTACAGACTCGAGGAGCAGAGTATGACGGAAACAGTCTCATGATTAGACACGTGAGCAGCAGCACTTCAGGAAAGGAACATGGGAAGATCACTGTGGCCACAGGATAGAGAACGGATTGGAGAAAGGAAAGATAGAAAAGAGACCAGGCAGAAAGCCAATGCCTCAATATCTGAAGAGTGAACTGGGTCCGGACTAGAGCACTGGCAGTAGATGTGGACAAAGAGGTGGATTCAAGAAACACTTAGAAGCTTGAGTTAACACAATTTGCTCTTAGAGAAAGGCAAGAAAATTCACTTAAACTCAACTGAGGAATAAGAATGATTTGGGGAAAAAAATACATCTAAAACTCTAGCTCATAATCTATTGACTAAGTAACTTTGGAAGCAGAAGAGTAAAGCTAAAAGTTTCTTCAAAGACTGCAAATTTATATGGTTTCTGTGTTAGCTTTCTGATTCTGTAATAAAATGCCTGAGATAATCAACTTAGAAAAGGTTATTTTAGAAGTTTAAGTCCATGGTCAGTTGGCCCAGTTGCTTTGGGGCCTGTAGCAAGACAGCACAATATGGTGGAGACTGTGTGACAGAAGAAGCCCCCTGTTTGTACACCTCATGGCTGGGAACAAAAGTAATGAAAAGAAGGAGCTGAGATCCCACAATCCCCTTCAAGGGCACACTCCCAATGACAGGAAGAACTCTCGGTAAGCCCCATTTCTTAAAAGTATATATCACTTCCCAGTAGTGCCAAGCTGGGTACTAAACTTTTAACACAAGGACTTCAGAGAATGTTCCAGAAACTACAGCAATCACCAAGCATCTACTGAATAAACAGTGCCTTGCACATGCACATACTCTGTGTATGTGATTAGTAAAATCAAAGTTCATTTATGAACATTACTGAATTCATAGTATCCTTTTGCCCATCTGTATTTCCTCAGCCAAAACATGATAAAAAGTTATCATGTGGAAAGGAGATCCTGGAAAATCTAGACCTCAAAAAGTAAAATAATTCTCCGTTTATGTATGATGTGTTCAAGTGCATTCTACTGTCATATGTAACTAATTAGAACAAATTAAAATAATGATTCTCATATTTGAAAAGACATAGAAGCCTTGGTAACAAGTTATTAGGAACTAAAATTGGACTAGCTTAGTACTGAAAGAACATGGAGGTCTCCTAAGGAAGGAGATGAACCACGATTCTATAGAAAGAGAGATGTGGCAAGGTTTCAGTCTCGGCCAAGACATAGATCTCATCACACTACAGTGGGGAATAAAGAGATTTATAAAATCCACATTCAGGATGTCCCCATGGCAAATTGAAATTTACTATGGGGGAAGTGTTTTATATTGGGGAATCAGCAAACTCTCAGGGCATTTTCCCTGGAAAGCCAATCAAACATCTGCAACAACAACTGTAATAAACCTGCAGAGCCCCCCAAAATGGCTTAGGAATCAGATACC